CTGAGTGTCCATCAGTAGATGAATGGATAAAAAAGCTGTGGTACATTTACACAGTGGAATACTACTCAGCTGTGAAAAAAAAAAAAAGGAAGGAAATCTTACCTTTTGTGACAGCATGGATGGACCTGGAGAGCATTATGCTAAGTGAAATAAGCCAGTCAGAGAAAGACAAATACCATATGATTTCACTTATATGTGGAATCTAATGAACAAAATAAAATGACAAACAAAATAGAAATAAAGGTATGGACACATGGAACAGACTGATAGCTGTCAGAGCGGAGGGGGGCCTGGATGACAGAAGGTGAAGGGATCAGCCAAAGAGTGTACGTGCATAATTCACAGACAGAGACAAGAGTGTGGTGACGGCCAGAGGGGAGGGGGATGGGGCCTGGGTGGAGGTGGGCACAGGGCAGGGGGCAATGAGGACATCTGTAATAGTGTTCACAATGAAAATAAAGTTAAAAAATAAAAAAGACTGTCCTTTGGAAATCATTATCTGTTTCCTTTACCAGAGTCTGTAAAGTTCAGAAAAATACTGTTGGGATCGATTGGAGGTAGGTTATGTTTGCAAATTAACCTAAGGCTCTGAGACATTTTCACAACACCAAGTGTGTGCATGTTGGAATATATTACGTCTGTCACCCTGCCCCCACCCCATAGAGTCTGCAATTCTCTTTAGAAAGGCCAGGCATATATTATGGTTATTTTTAAGTATGTTAGATCACTTGTTTCTGTCATACATGGATTTCATTATGTTGTCTAGCAATTGCTAGTATTTAGAAAGATTCGCCAGTTTTATGTATACAGCTTGTATTAATACTCTTTCTTAAACTCTTTAACTTATATATTTTTGCTGATTCTTTTGCATCCACTATCCATACAAAGGTTCTTGTGTTGTCTGTTTTCTCTTTTAGCTTTTCTTACTGAATCAACTAGGATTCCAAACAAGATCAACTTGAACTACCTTTAATCCTTTCAGGAACTCAGTAGGGTGTAAACTAATTTGCTCATTAATTATCAGAGTGAAAAAAAGAAATTCATTTTTTTTCCTAATTTTGAAGTTACTTTACCAGTGCTGCTTTTGAGTTTAAAATAGGTATGCTTTATTCTATTGAAGAAACGTTTAATTCTGACACTATAATGTTTTAAAACAATTGAACGTCATCAAATTATTTTCAGGGTAACTATTAAGATGATACTATGCCTTTTATTTTCATCTTCATGTTGAATAAATAATGACATTTTCCCCCAGTGACAAACCTGGAATTTCAACCCATGTTATTTATCGAGTTGTCATTTTAGGAAAGCATGTGTAAGTTTGCCAACCCTTGAGTGTGGCTTACAGTTGTGTAATAACCAGCAAACACAGGCAGATGAGAGGCATTTTCAGATAGAATTCTTTCTGCCTGTAATCATTCCAGGGCACTGGTGTTTCAAGGGCAGTAGGGAAACAGAGATGCATCTGGAAGACTGACACTTAGATTTTTTTTTTAATTTTTATTTAGTGATTTGAGAGAGAGAGAGAAACATCCATTTGTTGTTCCACTTATTCATGCGCTCGTTGGTTGATTCTTGTATGTGCCCTGACCAGGGATGAAACCCACCACCTCGGTGTAGGGGGACAACACTCGAACCAACTGAACTATCCAGCCAGGGCCTGACTTAAATCTTAAGTCACTCTTGTGAAGACCAGGGATTAACTGAAAATTATGGAGAGTTCTCTTTGAAAGGAGTGTTACAGAACAGACCTGGGCTGGGGTGTAAATGATACACTATACCTAATGGACCCACCCTTGTGTTCTGGGGTCCCCCCACCCCGTACTAGGTTTGCCTTGCCTGCTGCCAGGGAAAGACGCCTCTCAATGCCAGAGATTGGTGAAAAGGAAAGGGATTGTTTACTTAAAAAGTTATACAGACTTAGAGTAATGACTTAGTGTCTTCATTAAAATACGAAAGTCCTTTAGAATACCCACAAACGCACAGTCCTTTCTTCTCCCCTTTGCCCAGTCCAGGGTACTGTATCTCAGGAAAAGAAGTAGAAGTCCATGGTTCAGGCAGCCCCTTGGTTCCAGCATCATCTGCTGTGTTGCTGCTGCGATCTCCAGTTAATCCAAAACCGTGTGGCACATTCTCATGGCCCACCAGCAAGAATCCTTTCACCCCTTTTCTTCCAGGAAAAGTCTCTCCTGCTTCCCAAACCATGTGGCAAAAAGGGAGCACCCTAAGGCTACACAGTCCCAAAGCTGTGTGGTCCTGTCACACCTGGATTTAAATCGCACTGCCAATCTTCCTCAGCAGCACCATTTCTGACTCCTCCCACAATCAGTGACACTTGCCATCATTCCCGTATTCTTCCAGCTTTACTGGGCTGCCATAGTCAGGCCAGGCAGGTGTGGCCTTGTGGTATGGAGTCAATCATCTGCAAGCTTTTACGCAGGCGCTGTAACCAGGGGGAGTTGCTTCCCAGTTACATCCTGGGTTGAAGTCACTCCTATCCCCTGGCTCAAAACATAGCCACAGCTATTTAACATATCCATGAAAACAGTTAAAGGTTGTAGATATGTTAAATGACTGTTCTAGAGGTTATCTGCAGAACTGTTGCTATGCAAAACAACTCTCAATGGCCCTGCTCCATGTGTCCCATCCCCCAGCTCAGACTGGTGGGGGTGAGGACACTACGTGTGTGTGTGTGTGTGTGTGTGTGTGTGTGTGTGTGTGTGTGTGTGTATTTTTAAATATTTCCTGGATATCCTGAGTTCTGGACCCCCTTACAAATCCCCATTTGGGGGCCCCCCTTGGCTGCACCCTGTTACAGGAGAGCTCAATAAGTTTTAATTAAAATTTAACTGAGATCCAAGTGCACATCACAGCAGAAACCACCACACACTGCATTGGGACATCCACTTCCAGTTCTCCCTCCTGCAGCCAACACTACTCTCCAGTCTGCCCATGCCCACCACCCTCTCTGCACCCACAGCAGTCTGCCCCCAGGCACTCGTTCCAGGCCTCTTCTTCCTCCCTCGCTGGGGGAAATGTTTGTTCTGCTCCAGTTAGCTGGAACAGTTACCGCTTCTCTGGGATCCCAGCTGAAAATAGAGCCATGTCCAGCACAGCCTGGGTGACCGCCACACAGCCCAGCGGGCACCGGCAGTCTGTGTGAGCAGAGCCCAGTCACTTCCTCACTCCCACCACCTCTCGGACCACAAGTTTCCAAAACGATCCCACATACCTGTTACAGGGTGCAGCCAAGAGGGGGGACCCCAAATAGACATTTAAAATGCCTATTTTAATAGGGATTTTTATTGGGGTCCAGAACTCAAGGTGTCCAGGAGATTTTAAGGTGTCTTCACCCCTTCCCCCACAGGTGTGAGTTGGGGGAAGGGGCACACAGAGCAAGAACATGCAGGGCAGCTTTGCAGCTAATCCATGGCATGGTCATTTAGCATACCTATAGCCTTTGGCTGGTCACTTAGATATGCTAAATAGCTATGGCCATGCTCAAGGCCAGGGGGATGGAAAGGGACCTCCTCCCCAAGATGGGACCTGGGAGACAGGTCCCCTGAGTTACAGCACCTGCATGGGAGCTGGGAGAAGATTGGCTCCATGACATGGGATGACACCTGCCCAGACCCACGATGGTGACCAGAAAAGCTGGAGAAGACAGCAGATTGAGGGCAAGTGTGCCCAAGTGTAGGAGGAGTCGGAAATGGGGCTGCAGAAGAAGATTGGCGCAGGGGATTTAAACCCAGACACGGCAGCCATTGAGGGAGAACCACGTGTCTTTAGCAGAGTGGAGACTCCCACATCCCAGAGAGGGAGAACCACGCAGCCTGGACAGAGTGGGGACTCTCCCCTCCCGCAGCCTTGAGAGAGAGAGAGAACCACGTGGCCTTGACAGAGTGGAGACTCCCGCAGCCCTGAGAGAGAGAACCACGTGGCCTGGCAGAATGGGGACTCCCGTGGCCCTGGGAGAGAGGACCACGTGCCTGTGCCAGAGTGGGGACCCCCATAGCTTTAGAAGGGGGAACCACCACCTGGTTTTAGCAGAGATCCTGGCGACTCAGTGGAGGGTGCCGGGAACCCAGGGAGGTCTCCCAGTCGAGATGGAGTACTAACTGGGAATAACCAGAGGACTGCCTGAGCCATGGACTTCTATTTCCTTTCCTGAGATACGGTACTCTGGACTGGGCAAAGGGGGAAGGAAGGAAGGACTGTGTGTGTTGGTGGGTGTTTTTAGGGACTTTAGGATTTTTGATAAAGACGTTAAGTCACTACTTTAAGTTAGTATAGCATTAAATAAACATTTCCTTTCATTTTCACGAATCTCTGGCATTGAGAGACGTCTTTCCTAGGGTGGCAGACATAACAGACCCAGGGCCTTCTTTCAATAATAGTATATCATCCCAGGCCACCCCCCCCACTTGTTTGTTCTGTAACATACCCTTCACCTGAATTCCACGTGAAACCTGTGAGGCAGGTAGACTGGGGTTATGGCTAAATCCCCAGTTCACAGATGGAAACTGAGGCACATGGAGGAAGAACGAATGGCCTAAAACTCACCCAGCTAGGAAATAGCAGGGCAAAGTTCCCAAGTCAACTCCAACAGGATTCCAAACCTGAAGGTCTTTTTACCACATCACACTGTCTTCCTGCAGGGTAATCTCCTCTTCTTTCAAGCTTGAAATAGAGAATTCAAAAGTGTACAGCTGAGGGAGTTAAGTGTGCTTTTGATTTAAGCAACATGAAGCTTCCAGGCATGTGGAGTGTGCAGGGGCTGCCTAGGGCTGGGTGGGGACCTGGAATCCCTCTGCTGCTATTCCAATTCTCACAAGCACAGCAAATTGAATGTTCTCTTCCTCTTGATGACCCAAATGCTGAGCAGAGCAGCCAGTGGTGGCAGGCGGGGGCGGGGATGGGGAGCTTAGGCTTGCCTTTGGGAAGGACTTTGGTTCTGCAGGTGGAAGTTTGTTTGCTCTGCCCTGAGGGCTTGGGGGATGGAGTTCTGGAGCTTCAAAGAGTGCTGGCCCTATTTCCTGTGGAACAGAAGGAATCTAACTGTGGGTCCACCCCCTACCCCGGGTCCCAAGCTCAGACTCCCGCTGGAGTGCCAGTGAACTCACTGTTCCTGCCCGGTGAGGAAGGGCTGGGGGTGGGAGGCAAATGCCAGGAGCTCATTCTGTGTCAAGGGCCATCCTGGGACCCTGTCCAGAGAAGTGCTGGTGGGGCGGGGGGGAGCAGGAAGTGGGTTTGAACTGCCTTCGAGGGGAGGGAAGGAGGAAACAATGGGAACGATAAGGAGATGAGTGTGAAAGCGTCTGGGGGACTGGCTGGGGGACCTAGGACATCAAGGGTCATGCTGTATGGAGGTTGGAGCAGGAAAATGAGGCCCTGCAGGGGCCTAGTTCACAAAACAGCAGCAAGAGCTGCTGACACCTGCCAGGGTAGAGAAGCAGCCAGCCCATGACAGGCAGGCAGCTCAGGGAGACCAGGGGAGAACCCAGCGCTCCTGCCTTGGCCCAGGGCTCTTCCAGCAGCTGTGCCTGCAGCTCCCTGGTATGTCCTGCAGGTCCAGGGCTCTGACTGCCACTCGGGGAGTCCTGCAGGCAGCCCTGCCTACAGAGGTGAGTGCTGTCCTGGGGACCCTGATGAAGGAGGAAGTCCACACAGAGGTGGCCGTAACAGACACAAAGGGGCGAGCAGAGCCCACAGCCAGCAAGTGCAAGCCGTGCCACAGCCTCCTGCCCTAATGAATCATTAGCTACTGCCTAAAAATAGACTCCATGATTTCTCACTTGAAAAAGTCCCCACCATCGTTCTATGATCCCCTCTCCGTGTCCAGCCAACACCCCATCTGTCAGCTGCTGCACGATGAAGCAATGAAGCATAGCTGAGCTGGTTGCACTCACTTCCTCGCTCACCTACTGCCCACCCACTGCCCTCGCTGGCCTGGCTGCCACCCCACCACCACCGAAACTGGCTTGTCCTCAGTCCAGTGTCCACAAGTGCCCACTGCTCACTCTCTGCTCCATCTTGGCAGAGGCTTCTCTCCTCCCCAGAGGCCCCTGAACTTGGTTTGCCCCTGAGCCTGAACAAGCACGAAAGAAGTGGAATGACCCCTCATTCCACCCCCTCTCTGTCTCCTTATTCAGTCTCCCAGAAATCCCTGACACAGCAGGACACTTTCCTGCCAGACCCTTCTGGTCACTTCCCCTCATTCCTCCAGCTTCCCCACCAAAGATTCTGCTTATCCCAATTTGCCCCCTCCTTCGCCCTGTGAAAGAAAAAACTTTTTTGCTGTGTGCTTCTGTGAGGCTTGCGGGTTTCTGAGACCAGGGCATTTCCCTCTCTGAGTCGAGATTTGTTTTTATTTGGCATCACGGTCACCAGCTGGGCAGAAGTGGCATCCAGTGGCTGGAGAGGCCTCCCAGAGATGCCAGGAGCCTGCAGAGATGGGGACCAGCAGGAGAATAGACATTCTTTTTGACTAGCAATGGAAATACAGACCCAGCTGTGTCAACCCCTCTAGGGCCAGACCCAGAGGAAGCAGGAGAGCTGATGCTGTCACCGCTGTGCGTCTTTGAAGCCTGAGAGCCCGAGGCAGAGGGGGCAGGGCCTCCCCCAAGGGCACACGGCAAGTTGGTGACCGAGCCAGGGCTAGATCTCATGTTTGCAGACCCCACTCCTCTCAGGGCTCCCTCCAGGCCCGCTTCCTCCCTGGGCACATTTGCGAATGAGAACGTGGAGGCACAAAGAGCAGGGTTGACAGTGGGGCACTCCAGGCAGGGACAACTCTCAGGACAGAGAAATTTCCCACCTCTCCAGGGAAGGGCCTCAGACAGGCAAGCTCCCAGTTCCCCCTGTTCCTACTTAATTCATGCATTTAGCCTTTATAATTAATGAGCAAACATTCTTTGCAAAACAATGTTTAAACACCTCAGGATTAATTTAATCAAATATTTAATTGCCCTGTAATTAATCATCTGAGCATAATGAATTGGACCTCCATCTCTGGGAGTTGGGTTTATCCCCGTGACTTCTGAAAATAAATATGGCATGGGGCTTTTGCAAGCAGACTTTCTGCTCTTATTTGGAGTCTTGTGGGGTCCTTCTGCTCCTTGTGCCCAGCAAGCAGCCCGAGCTCAGCTCTCTGGGACTGAAGAGACATAGCCTGGACTAGGAGAAGCAGGTGGGCCAGAGGGGAGCCCTGGGGGCCATGTCAGTCCAGGACTGGGAAGGCTGAACAAGCTAGACAGCTGCAAGGTGGTCTGCCTCCCCTGACTGTGGGCCTTTGGGCAAGCTACATCCCCTCTGTGAGTCTCCACATCTCCATCTGTGAAATGGGAATGCCCCTAAACTGTCAGTCTCCTTGTGCTCTAGAGAGGTCCAAAAGACCTCAAAAGGGGATAATGGGCACTGGAAAGACCTGTGCACAGTGAGGAGGACACAGTGTCCTCTGGTGTGTGAAATCGAGCAGGCAGCTTGAGAGGTGACTCAGCCCAAAAGGCTTGGGCCCCTGCCTGCAGCAGTGTACTGAGCAGTGGCTCGCCATCAGGGACCATCCAGGGAGCTGATGGAAACCCCTTGCCTGGGCTGGGAGCTGGACAATTCCCTGGCCAGCTGGCAGGAGCCTCAGAGCCCCAGTAGAGGGGGCCTTAACTCTTAGCCCTGCCCCTCTCTCAGGACACTGGGTGGAAGACTGGGGCCTTGTGGACGCCCGAGGATGCTTCCCAAGAAACCAGAACAGACAAGACCCCAAGGATAGAGATCTAACGATGGCTAACGGTGAGCACTGCTGATGGATGTGCCAGTCAGATGTGCCTGGCCTCCGACTTCACACCTGGTCACTCTTTAAGTTCTTATAAGCCTTGTGTCTGGGTAGGGCCAGGCTAGATCATTGCCTTCATCATTCTCCACCTGTTTAACAAATTAAATTAAATAAAGAGAATCAGGGAGGTTAAGTAACTTGCCCAAAGTCTCAGAACACACAGAGATGGATCCAAGATCTGGCTGCGGGGATGTGTTCCAAACCCTATGCCACCCCATCTCCTAGGAGACGTGGAGGCTCTCACAGGGCTGGATGAGGTGAGCCATCAGCTGGGGACACATGCAGACAGCAGATGGGCAGCATTGGTGCTTCTCTGCTGGGACCCCTGGCCCCAGCTGTGGGAGGATGAACCAGCCTCCCCCAGGAGATCCATAGGAGGGTCAGAGAGCTGCCTGAACTCACTCCATGAGCAAGCTAAATTTTTGTCTGTCTCTAGGCCAACGAAAGCATCAGAGGTCAGAGTCCTAACTCCCCAGTCCTGCTTTCCCCGGACCAGAGGGCATACAGGCTCTCTGCAGTGAAGTCTGTGAGGAGGCAATTAGCCCTCAACACGTGCAGCCTCTGACCCAACGTCCAAGCCTTCAGCTACACGTCGGCAGAGGATGGATTAACTCAGGCCTGACTTGGGAGCTGCCAGGCCAAATGCTTTCCCCAGAGTTATTTATGCCACCCCATTAGCTCAAGAAGAGGCAGGATTCATAGAGCCATCATGGCCTCAGAACTCAGTGAAATTAATATACCTGTGGCTGAAATACACATGAAGCTTGCACCTCCTCCCTTTGATAGGGAAGGAGGGGAAGGAAGAGAAATTCCAGGCTCCTGGTTAAAGAGGAGAGGCTTCTGGTTAGAGGGGAGAAGAGATACCCAGAATTCACCCTTTCCTCTCTGTCTACACCGCCAACACCCTGGTCTTGCTCTCACAGTCTCATCAAACCATTGCCGCAGTCCCCTTCTCAGCCACCCAGCCTTCAGGCTCATCCCAACCAGTAGCCCTTCCTGACATTTCAGGACTTGGGACAGAGCACAAACTACAAAGGCTCCTTAGTGGATCATTGAAAGACAGAGATGAAGCCAGGCTTTCTGTTTTAGGCGTGCTTTGAAAACCCTATTCTGATAAGTACCTTTAAGAGCAGAACAATATGAACTTGGCATGGAAGTCAAGAGGTCTGGCTATAGAATCAGATGGTGCTGCGTTCACATTTGAGCCCTTAGTACTTGTAATAGCAAAACACAGGAAGCAAATCAAGTGGAGGGACTGGGAGGAAAAAATGATCGTTCGTGCACATCAAAGAATACTATGTACCTATAGAAGCATGGGGATTACCTCTCTTTACTGCTCAGCAGTAATCGTTGGGGTATATTCTTAAGGGGTATATTGCTTTAAAAAAGCAAGAGGAAAAAAGAAAGATGTTAAGTTAAAGTAAAAAATAAGGTGGAAAAAAGTGTACATGGTTTATATAAGAAAGTAAGAAAATGAAAATATACCTCTTTGCTTTTTTAATGGAGGGATAAACCACAAAATGTTTTCAAGTGTGCCCAAGGAAACGGGAAAGGGTGGGGTGAGGAAGGAGAGCGGCAGTGAAAGTCGGCTTCTGGGAATACAGGTTGCTTTCTTGTTTTTGCTTTGAAACCATGTGAATATTTTACCTAATTGCACAAAAACAAAGAAAAAACAAAATTAAATCTTAAACAGTAATCCCTAAGAAAAGAAAACAGAATGAAACAGAGGAGTCTGGCTACCTGTCGTATTAGTGACACTGCCACCCAGAGCGGAAGTCGCCCAAGGACTTGGAGACACAGGGGTTTGAATGCGTAACCCCAGTGGGATCATGTCACCTGAAAAGTCATAGAAATACAAACAAACAGCCCCAAATAAACCTTTTCAGTAATCATGATGTTGGTGGAAGTACTGGAATTATTATGCAAAGACCCGGGGGGAGGAGGGGTGAGTGTGTGTCACAAAAAAAAAAAAAAGAAGAAGAAGAAAACTTGCACCACAGGCTGGAATGTCAATCAAGGCACAAAACCAGGGTGACCCTGGACCCTGTTGTTTGTTTCACATCTTCCAGGAACCCAGAGGTCCCTGTAGTTACTTGCTTCATGATCACTATCGGTTGCCTTTTTGTTGCTATTGTTTCAGGCAGGATAGTAAGTCTCCTCTCAATCATTCCATCTTGGCTGGAAGCTAAAGTCACAGAATTAATTTTTTATTTTGTTTAACTTACATTTAAACAGCCCCATGTGGCTAGTGGCACCATATTGAATAGCTCATATCACACATCCAACCAAAGAAAGAGGAAGCAAAATAGCTTTTGTTCAAGTTCCAGAATTCATCCCCCTCCCCCACCATCTCTTTCTTATTCAGGAGCAGGTCTGGGTGACATGGTCCCACTTTGCCAGAGCTCTGTGTCAGGGTATATATAGCACATGAGTTGCCTGTGCTGTTACTTAAAAGCAAGGACCTTGCATTAGCTTGCAAGGCTGCCAAACCAAAGTACCACGGACTAGGTGACTTAAACAGCAGAGATTTATGTCCATGTCTCACAGTTCTGGAAGCTAATAGTCCAGAATGGAGGTGCTGGAAGGCTTGGCTTCGTCTGAGGGCTCTGAAGAAGGATCTGTCTCAGAACTCTCCCCTTTGCTTGTGGATGGCCATCTTTTATACCCATCCACGTCGTCTTTCCACTGTGTGCACATCTCTTTGTCCAAATTTCCTCTTTAAAAAAAATAAGGACATCAGTCATACTGATGGCCTTTTTTTAAAAAAACTTGATTACCTCTGTGAAGACCATATTTCCAAATATGATCACATTCTGAGGTACTGGAGGGTTATGATGTGTGTGTGTGTGTGTGTGCGTGTGTGTGTGTGTGTGTGTGTGTGTAATTGGGGGATGGAGGGACACAGGTCACCCATTCACCCATTTAGGCTTTCATTCCCACCCTGCTTGTGCTCCTTGCCTGTGTAGCTCCTTCTGGAAGCACTTGGGCTAGAGGGATCAGTGTCAGGGTAGGATCACATCTCCTGGTCCCTGGCCATAATGCATCAAAATGACACCAAAGCCCTAACTCCTAGGAACAGGTGGTCTGGGTAAAGGAGTTCTTGGCCAGCAGATCTGCTGGTTCTTCATCCCCAGTGTCACCTCTGCACTAGCCTTCCTCTCTTCCAACCAAACTGTCACGGCCTGGCTCTTCAGGCTCCTCATTCCCCCTGCTGAAACTAACTAATCCATTCATTCATTTATTCATTTATTTACTCAACAACTTATACCCTAACAGGCCCAATGTGGGGCCTGGGATACAGCAACAAACAAAGTATGAACTCTGCCTTCAGGGGATCCCAGCTCAGAGGCAAAGACAGAGAGAAAAATGAAAAATCCCAAGGTGAGATAAGGTCTGAGGTAGGGGAATACAGGAGTTCTGGGAACACAGAGGGGATCCCTGGCCAGTGGGTGTGCAGATCAAGGAGCCCTGCCTTGCTCTTATTCACCCCATCAATGCTCTTTTCATTAGCCACATGCATTTTGCAGAACTAATATGTTGGAGGATCCTCTCAATAAAGAGAAAAGCCAAGGGTAGCCAAAGGTGGTCCCACAGTGGCCTAGGCACTTCCAAATTCTGGTCTTCATGGCAGAGGTCCCTCATTCTGACTGGCCAATCATGATCCTGTCCTTTTTTTTTTTGGCAAAACGAGGGGCTTTCACATGCTCCATGGACTGCATGCAGACCAGTTCCCAGCAGAATTCTGATCTTTATAGTACGGGTAGGCAAACTATGGTCTGTAGGCCAAATTCAGCCCCTTGCCTGTCTTTGTAAATAAAGTTTTATTGACACAGCCATGCCCAATCATTTACATTTGGCTATGGTTACTGTACGAGTATGGGGCAAAGATCAGTAGTTGTGACCAAGATCCATCACACAAGCTGCAAAGCCTGAATTATTTACCATGGCCCTTTACAGAAAACACTTGCCTGCCCTGCTTTAAACCATGAGAACAGCAAAGCTGAAGTCGCTTAAAGGATTTCACTCCATGATTCTAACCAAAATGCCCAGACAACTGTCCAGTGAGGAGGTGAGAGTCATGTCCTGAGTGATTTCTGGTCTGTTCATTGTTGCTGGTAACTGTAGGTAAACCAGTCCCCTCCCCACTGAACCTCAGTTCCCCCCCACCCCGGAAGAGGAAACCAGCAGATTCTGTGCTGTCTACTGGTTGTGAGCCACTGTGTCAGAGTCTGAGCCATTCTTTATCCTGCCAGAGGCTCTGTGAGCCCACAGGTGAGTTCTATGGTCTCAAAGAGACCTCATATTTACTCTAGCGAGCCCAGAGAAAGGGGGCCATGAGAATGATTAGAGGAACCCAGCTCAGGCAGGCTAAATTATTTCCCTAAGATGGTGCCCTTTGGCAGGGAATTTAGTGCTGGAAAGGAAGACCATGTGTAGCCTGCAACAAAACATCTGAATGAAAAGTAAAAATCAGAGGCACTGCCTTGTCTAGCCAATGCCTAACATCCAAGAGTATCTAAATAAGCAAATGCTTACTTAGAAAGAGAGGCTAGCAGGGTCAAGGGAGTACAGGGCTGTGACTGGGAAGGCTGGGCTCCTTTGCAGCTCTGCCACTGTTAGCCAGGTTGCCTTGGTCAAGTCATTAGCCTCTTGAGTTGCAATTTTCTCACCTTCAAAGTTGTTACTAAGTTCTTCCACCTGGGATCATTGGAAGGACTGAATGGGATGGTGGGTAAAAAAAGATGTAATGTGTAGTACATGAAAACTTCCCCAAAATATAATCAGCTCACTTTCACCTTTGTACAGAAATTCATCATTTGCATAGCTTTCACATAAACCAACTCATTGGGTAGGTAAGAAATGAGCACATAGAGAATTTTCCTTCACTACGTACCTACTCTGTGCCCAGTGTCCCCCCGTCTTATCGGTAGGGGGGTATAAATACTGCATTGAAAGTCACCTTTGTAAACCTCACAGGGCTTTTCTTAAAAGTATGATGATAAAAGAGGGAGCAGGAACCATGACAAGGGTGTTCTGCACCCAGCACCTCCCTTCTCTGCTGCTCTAAGGGCAAGATGTCCAGTACTAGCTGGTTCAGCTGCATAGCAGCAAAAAGCAGTACCAGCCACCCACTGCCTGCCTGCTGTGTGTCAAGCCCTGTCCTGGGCGGCTGACAGACCCTCCCCCTGCTCTCTGCAGTGGGAATCGGCAATCCTAACGTGATTTCCAGAGTCAGAACCAGTGAAAATCCACGTTGGTCTAATACATTGTTGGATCTTGTATCTCTGAAGGCCCCACCGGGTGGGACTATTATATCATGTTGACAATATAAATTAGACTGATTAGGGGCTGACAACATCGTTAGGAATGATATACTATTTAGTAGCTGGCATTATTGCCTGTTAAATTTACACATGACAAACTGCTTTCTCTCTCGGCCCAGTGACACTTTGGCACCAGCCCAAATCATAAGAAACGCTGAGGTGTAAACCTCAGGCCACTCATTAACTGCCCCCAGGAGGTCACTCAGCCCTTCCAGCCCTGCTGATAGATTGGCCTTTGGTAAAATTGTGAAGCAGAAGAAGCTTATGTTTCCCTTGGGCAGCCAGGGATCTACCCGGGCTCCCAGGTCCCCTATAAAGAGACCATTGTCATACATAAGGAAGAACACTCTGCTTTTCACTAAAAGATAGGCCTCATCTCTTGACCACCATAAGTCACTTTTTCTCCCTGAGCCTCAATTTCCTCACATAAAGAAGAGAATTCAATTATCTATCTGTATCATGGTGGAGGGTACAGTTCTTCAGATTGAATGAGCCAGTGGATATGAAAGCACCTGTATCAGCCAGTTCTTTCTGTGTAACAACCAGCCACAAAAATCTTAGGGTCATAGAACAATAAGCATTTATTTCATTCACCTATCTATAGGTAAGCTAAGGTTGTCTGAACTCGGCTGGGCTGGGCTTAGCAGTTCTGCTTTAGGCTGTGGATTTGGCTAGAATTGGTTCCTTGCTACCAAGTTGGGCTCTGGTCTATTTCTTGGATGTTTATTCCAGAGCCCAGGATGAGGAGGAGGCATCGACCTGGGAGAAGCTCTTCTCATGGCAATGGCAGAAGTACAAGAGGGCAAGCCCAGCTGCACCAGCACATTTCAGTGCTTGTATTGAGTCTGCTCCTGCTCTATTCTGAGTTGCATGGCCAAGTCCAGCATTAAAGAGCAAGGAAATAACCTTCCACAAAGGCGAGGAAGAGGGTGTGGATAGTTTTAAACAAAAATCTACCACACACATATGCTATTCACAGGTGAGAAAGTACTCTTTCTTGTTATTTCCTCAACTTTACCCAGGACCAAGAAGATAAACATTATGTTTTTTAATCCATTGTTTTGGCATCATAGCAACCTATTTGGCTGTAATCAATCCAACCAACCACTAAACCACTGGACTAATCGACAGTTTGGTCATGTCCAGTGGAACCCGTTACCAGAGGTGCACTAGGTCCTCTGAGTCCTCTCTATAGCCACCTCCAGCCCATGCAAAAGGTAGGGTACCAGAGGAGAGCTTTCTTTCTTACTCCTAATTGTTCCAGCTCAGCTTCCTCAGACAGGGAGCCACATAACAACACCAACCATGTTTACCCAGACCTTGGCAGGCAAGCAAAGTCTTCCATAGATACAATTCATTTGTCATCTCTAAGTAGCCTTAATCATGTCCATTTTACACGCAAGGAAATTGAGGCTCAGAGAGCCTCTGGTGACAAGCCCTAGGTCACACCAACATGAAGCGGGAAGCCCTGAACTTGACTCCAGAGCTCAGCATCTCCCCTCCCCAGCTCTATGGACAGGGTTCCTGCTGACCACGTCCTGGCTCTGCCTGACCCCACAGCACTGCCCTAATATAACATCAGCCCCATACAACAGCCTATCTACCACAGCCACAACAGTTTAATTTCTGCTGTTTATGTGAACAGAAATTACTCACTAAAATTTAATTTGGTAAATTTCAGTCTTAGTAAGCAGTTAATTCCATGATGACACAGCCCAGCCAGTCAGCAGTTACTCCAGCTATTTCCATGCGGCCAGCCCCCAGATAACAGAGAATGCTCCAGCTTCCCAGGCTGTTTGAAATTCACATTCCTTCATTAGTATGTCAAGGAAAGTCATTATGTGCCTAAAGAAAATGTTTCCTGTCTATAAAAATAAAATGTAATCTTGTACAATGGATTAGCATTTTCTGTCAGGTATTAAAATAAATGGGGAGCATTTAAGAAGCATGATTTCTGAATTATGTGGTCTGATAATTATTTAACCACAGTGGCTGATGACAAATATTTACCTAGTCCAGAGTAATGCAGTTCAACAGACCTATTGTTAGGTCCATGGATCCTATCAGAGGATCCTGCCAGGAATAGGACTCCCAGAATCCACTGGGACCAGGCAGATGGTGAAGGGAAATGGGGGTAAGTCTCTCAGGTCAGCATTGATATCTACAACATGCACAGATTTGCCAGTATGGATCAGAAACTGGTGAATTTCTTGCAATTAATGTGTGTGTGTGTGTGTGTGTGTATGAGAGAGAGAGAGAAAGAGAAACTGATTCATTATAGACTTCTTAACCAGGTCAAGCTAATGGGATCATGAGTTTTTAGGAGCAGGGACCATATCTTATTCATCATGCCAAGAACTCCTGTGCAGCCATAGCTTTGAGACTGATTGTCACATAGTGGTAGCTGCAGTTGACCACTGAGATGTGGGCTCCATGTGGATTATTGTCTTGTCTTTTGCTTTATCTTCAGCTCCTGGCCCAATGCCTGGCGCAGAGATGACACTCAATAAAAACTTACTGAATCTTGTCTGAATCTGCATTGAGTGTGGAAAGTAAAGTGTCTCTAGGACAAAGAAACTGGTGCCCATCTGGGAAAGGAGGCCAGGAGAAAGGAGGAGCTTGGGGTGATACACAGGGTGGGAAAGTTGATGCTTTTTCTGAAGAAGGGAAGGCTCAGGGTCAAGATCACTGCCTTGAACCCTAACATGGCCACCATGAGGCAGAAGTGGCCCTATACTGAGTAACTTTGGGAAAGGGGAGGCTATTGCTAGAGGTAACTTTTGAGGAGAAAAGAGAAATAAATTCTAAGGTATCTGTCAGAGAAGGAATGACTTCCCCAAAGAGTTAGCACCATGTGTCAGGAGAGTGTCAGAGAGGGAAGGACAACATCGGGCAGAAGGTTGAAGTAGATGACCTTTAAAGTCCTGTGAGAGTCTATGACGCATAGTCCACACTTGATTCATTTGCTTCTGCTGGAACAGAGGAAGCTGAATCAGGTCCCCTGAATTAAGGAGAAATGTTGAATTTGACCTTGAAAACCCTGAGCTGGAGGTAACTGTGGTCAGAGCATTAAGATGGGGGTCATGTATGAACAATCACATGCTGTAGTGCTTGGTTGAGTTACATGTGTCACAGGCACACGGGGGTTAGCGGTCAAGGCTGCTGCCATCTGGAGACCCCTGGAGAAGTTCAGGGAGGCCAGAGCAATCAGGGAGACCTCTTTGGAAGTGCTTGGCTGAGCATTCAGGAAGCACAGGGGAGATGAGACCCAAGAGCCAATAACCGAGCAGATAGTGTGGCATTGGAAGATAGGGACTCCAACAAGCAGAGAAGGGGTGAAGTATAGTTCCAGGGGAGAAAAGTAAGCCAGGTGCTTTGAAAAGAGTGAAGTCTCCCCAAGGGTAAGAACTAGGACTGGGGGTGAGAGAACAAAATGTCAGTCCTGGGATAAACAGTACCTGGTTGGTTTCTGGATGAGGAACTTCCAGTGACAGTTCTCATAGGTCACCAGTGGAGGCAGCAATGGGTTCTGACAGAGGTAGAGGGTGGGGTGGAGGTTTTAGAAGCAGACAGTCCTGGTTTGAAGTCCTGGCTCTACCACGTCCTGGGTGTGTGGTCTCGGAAAGTGGCTAAACCTCTGAGTTTTCGTTTCCTCAGCTATAAAATAGGGCTTAAAAAATCTCTCCAGCCCTCTGAGGGTGGCTGTGAAGATTATATGGGGTCACAGATGTTAGCACGATTTGTAACTCTCAAGTGCCCTGCACTTATAGGGGCAGCCGCTAATGCATGCTTGCAGAGTCTCCAAATTGGAGAGCGACAGGGGCTGCCTTCTGAGGCCTGGGGCTTTGAGTCAGGCCTTGAACCTATCATCAAACTGGAGAAAATTTTGTTCTTCCATTTAGGAGTTGGTCTGATGGGCCTGGCAGTGGTCCCACGTGGGAGTGACTATCCTGAGGACAAGCTCATGCTACGATGTCAACTCTCCTGTTCAGCAATTCGGTGTCAGACCAGTGTTGATAAGTGGTGGCCTGCAGCCTGTCCACAGCTCACTGACAAGCCCTGCGCTGCTGGCTGCCACCTGGACAGTGCTTCCTCCTCTCTCAGGACCCTTGTCCCCAGCCTTCCTTAGCATTTCATGATGAAGCCACATTTCTAAGTTGACACTATTTTAGTGACTCTTTCAAGAGGCCTGTCAGCCAAATGACTTCTCCGGATTTGAACTTTCAGCCCTGGCCCCATTCTGAAGCTCCAAATAGCTACGCTTAGCAGTTTACTGGACTTCGCCATACGGATAAGGATCTCAAACAAAATATGACCCAAATGGACTTCCTGGATGCCCCTTGGCTCCAAATCTGTTCCAATACCAGTCATTTCCCACAACTGCCATGCACCCAGCCTCTCTGGCCAAGCCCCTGGACATCTTCTGAAACTCTGCTCCCCTTCCCTCACCCCTACACCCAATCTGCCTGAACATCCTGCCAGTGCTACCTCCCAAACACATCCCCAATAGGTTCCCTTTTCACCAAGTCCCCATTGCCACCCTGTCCACACCAGCACCCTCTCAGCTAGTAGCATGGCAGCTTCCTAACTAACCTTCCTGCTTTTTCTTTTGGCTTTTTCAAACCTATTCCCTATGAAGTAGCCAGAGGGATGTTTTTAAAACATAAATCAAGTAATGTTTATCTTCCTAAAACCCTCCAGTGGCTTCAAGTGTACGCAGAATAAAAACAAACTCCTGAGGGGCAGCCAGATTGCACCGGGTGGAGGCGTGAATAGCATTCAGGACGTGAAGAACAAGAGTAAGAAAACACTTATGAGAAGCATGGCTGGGAAGCAGAAGGGAGGAAGAGAGCCGTCAGGAAAGCGTTGCTATTACTTTGGAGGGGATCGGCTGAAGCAGGCTAAAAGCTAAAGTGCAGAGCTGGTGGGGGTTGGGGTGAGGGACTGACTGACTCAAGTAGCTGATGACTCCTGCTCTTCTCAGGAGAAGAGGCTTGGAGCTAATTCATATTGTGCCTGGTGGCATTGCTGCCCCAGATAAACCTATTTTTGTCAACTCAAAAATACATAAATAAAATAGATCCTCCTCACTAAAGCCTGCAAGACCCTCCAGGACCTGGCTCTATCACCCCTCTATCCCCATCCTGTGACAGCCACCAACTCACTGACCACCATGCCAGGGGTCACAGGCTTTGTGATGCATGTGAATCACAGGAAAGCTTGTCAGCACAGATTCCAGCTGCTACTCTTCCTCTTTTCCTTCCTCAGCCCCATTCTTCTATGCCCTTACTTCCTGCACACTCTGTCATATGCACAGAATAAGATACACATCTGCCGTGAGGCACAGAAAGTCATGGTGGCCCAGAGCAGGGAGGCATGATGACACAGGGAACTGGCCCACACAGTGGACATGCTGCACCCTAACAGGGGGAAGAAGGCATCCATGTGGCAGGGAGTGAGGCAACATGGATATCATTACCACGCAGGGTGAAAAGGATACCACCCCAGTGGGGCATCCTTGCATGTAGTGACAGACGAGACTGGCTGAGAAGGACATCATGTGAGGGACAGGGTGATGGGGGTATTTGCTGAGGAAGTGTCCTGGTGTCCAGAGCCTGAGCCCAAGCCTGAGCAAGGTGAGAAAAGCATCCCTGTAGGTGGGGTGTCAGCACCCAAGTGGGGCAGATGACATCCACACAGAGGTAGGACAACAGCCTGAAATGAGACTTCAGAGCCCAAGGGAGATAAGAAGAGGAATAGAAGGCCTGCCATGGGGTGCGCCCCAACCCTATGTGACTGATGTCCTTACAGGAAGGGGAAATCTGAACATGGACCCACATGCAGGGGGGACGTGAAGGCAGAGATCAGGGAAATGTGTTTATAAGTCAAGGAACACCAAAAATTACCATAGAACCACAAGGAGGGACAGCAGCATGGAACAGATTCTCCCCCACAGCCAACAGATGGAGCCAACCCTGCCGGCACCCTGACCTTGGACTTCCAGCCTGTACAACTGTGAGGCAATATGTTTCTGTTGTTCCAACCTTCCAGTTTGCGATGCTTTCTTACAACTGCCCTAGGAAACTAATACACCATGTTTGTCATTATTGGGGAAGAGAGTTCCCAATACTGAAAGGGAAAATGAAACTAGTGATGTTAAATTTGAATTAGATGTATCGACGTGAACTCATGGTTTCCGATATTTAAAGATAGATACAGAAATAAATGGAAATGTACTGTGTATGTAAATGTGTATATATAATACATAATAATATATTATTTAAATGTATAATATGTAATAATACATAATATACATGTATATATACACACAAATACAATCATTTTAAATATAATATAATATAATATATAATTTTACATATATATTTTAGCTCTATCCTCTGAAAAAGCCTGAAGCAGTAACACTCTAATAGCAAAGAACATATCTAGCACCTAGAGTGTGGCTTCTAAGAATCATTTTCCACTAAAAGGAAAAAAAGGGATTCTTGGAGAAATAGTTGATTCCAGGCCTGGGGCAGGGAAGGTACAAGTTTAACCTAAGACATCTTGTGCCCCAAAGCAAGAAAATGCTTGAAGACAGATGGGAATATGTCAAAAGGACACACGGGTCTCACTGGCCAATAAGGAGATAGTTTGAGCGTCAAATTAAACAACAGCAGTAACAGATTAGAACCCATTGAATAAAATGGGAAACCATGAGTTCATATAGATATATACTCATAAATTAATAAATTGAAAATGTGATGAGGAATCAAGTAATTCATAATTTTAAGATACCTCCCTAGAAAACACTTATTTATTACAAAGAGCAACTTTCTAGTGGAGAAGAGTGGGTAGGGCAGGCACCATCCCAGTTAAGTGATGAAAGTGATCATCTCAGTAACAGGACAAGCTGAAGCCACCAGACAGGATGCAAGAAGACTGCAGAATCACTTTTGTGCTATTCCTGCTAGTGACGCATGAACTGAATTTAACCAGCAGGAAGCATCAGACAGACCCAATATAACTGTCCTGCAGTCTTCAGAAGTCACAAGGTCTTGAAAGTCAAGGAAAAGCTGAGTTAAAAGAAGACAAAAGAAGACTAATAGAACATGAAAACAAAATATAGCCCACAGTTCCAAAACAGATCTTTTTGCTACAAAATATGTTATTGGAACACCTGAAGAAATCTGGATGGGCTCTCAGGATTAGGTGCACAATGCATCATTGTCAACCTCCTGATTTTGTTGTGGTGTTGTGATTGTGTAGGTGAATGTCTTTATTTGGATTAAACATACATTACAGGATGATAGGACATCAGGTCAGCACCTTACTCTTGAATGATTAAAGAAAACAGAATGTTTTGTACTATACTTTCAACTTTTCTGCAAGTATGATTGTCGCAAGCAAGAAAGGTTTACCAAAAGCAGATTTCTGGACTCCACCCCTAGGAATGATTTCATAGGGCTGGGATGGGACCAGGGCATTTGCTTATGTAACCATTTCCCAAGTGATGCCAATGGTGTGGGTCCATGGACCACACTTCCAGAAGCAAGTCTATACATTGACCTACTTTTTGTCTCTGGAGTTGTCACCTCATCATCATTGCAGGTCCTTTGCTCCACAATGTCTACCTGCAAGCTTTTCTCTCATATATTTCTGAATTCGCTTCTTTGTGTCATTCAGGTCTCAACTCCAATGCCATAATCTCAGGGAAGACTTCCTTCCAGAGGCCTTAGGAGAGAATTCATTTCCTTGACCTTTCCAGATTCTAGAGGCTGTGAAATCCACTCTGTCCACATTCCTTGACTTGTATGACCTTCTCCCATCTTCAAAAGCAGCAATAATCTATCTCTCTGTACCTTTCTTCTGCAGCCACATCTTCCTCTGATAGGCTCTTCTACCTTCTACTTTTAGGGATCCTCGTGATTATACTGGGCATGCCCAGATATCCAGAATAGCCTTCCTATCTTTAGGTTAACTGATTCATAACTTCAATTACATCTAAAACCTTAATCCTTCCTTGCTATGTAACCTAATATACTCCCAGGTTCCAGGCATCAGAACTTGAATGTCTTAGGGGCCTCTGAAGATGTTACCACCTAAAAATTTTGCTTGCTAGAATTACCTTTATTATTATGCTTATTTGAATACTTGTTTGTTTAACAAGCTTCTAGATGAAATATCAGGCAGCTCTTAAAAGTTTGGAAGCCACATTTCATGGGTTCAGATTCTGGCTTTCATACAAGCAAAGGTGCAATGTTGGATTGTTTACCTTCTCTGAGCCTCAATGTCTTCATCCATAGAATAAGAATAAAGTTCAAATAATATATCTTCCCTACAGTGTTGTCTCATTTGGCCACTAAGCAGTTTTTCTATAGACAGTGACCTCCCTAGTTACAGAAATAAAGGTTTTCTTTTAAGATAAATCTTCCCATCCCTAATCTCTTCTCTATTAGTTTTCCTCTATGTCTGTTCTTCTCTCTCTCTTGTAGTTCTTGACTCATTTGAAAGAGTCACAAGTCTCTCAGAGCTGCCGAGGAAAGTTGTGTGCTTGCTGCCTGGAAAACTGACCATCACACACACATTCACATACACTTCTCTGAGTAATTTCTGGGCATCAATGATCCACTGAAGCCCTCTTGTGGGTCCCAGTTCAGAAACCACTCCCCTCCACTAGTTCTGTCCAACCAAAGCAAACCTCTACCCCAGTCTAACCAGTCTCACTGTCCCTGAGGCCATAGAATTGATGACTTGGGAAGTTTATAGATTGCAGAATAGTAGTTAAACTTCACACCCATCCTATGGGTGCTCACAGGTGAAAAGGAAAACAACAGATGCTAACTCAGGCAGCAAAAAGAGAAAGGACACCTCTTTAGACTTGCCAGAGACAGAAGGGGTGTAAGGCAAAAGGTGCTGGAAATAGCTATTATTTCTACCACATGTAAAAAATAATGTTCAGATGAATTGTAATCTTAGTGAACTGAAATTTTTCAACTGCACACTCTGACTTTTAGACTATAATGAGCAGCTTCCTCTTGAGAGACCCCAGCTTCAAGCTGAGCCCAAGAACACCAGCCTCTGAGCTGACGCCTAAACCCAAATGGTAATTAAAGCACATCCACAGAAGAGAAAATTTGCATCATATAGTACAATGAAAACTCAAAGTTTTACTCTTCCGAGCTTCAGAAATAATGATGTCTTTCTTTATGCTCAGGAGAAAAAAATGCCTGTTAATTCTACCCAATTTTGAATCACAGAGTCAACTTCTTAAGAGCACCAGTTTGCACTAATCGGTGAATAACAGAACATGCACACAAACTCTCCAGCAGCCTCCCAGTTTCTAACCCTGACTGACTTGGGGTCTTAGAACATCTGGAACTTAAAAG